GACAATAAGTAGATATTACACACTCTAATCTGGCTCTGATGCCAATTATTGCGGAATACGACTATCAAATAGAGCAAAATCGCAACTGATAATTTGAGAAAATAAAAATAAAGATAAAGAAGACACAAATTTTACGTGTAAAACTCCTAAATAATATAGGGTAAAAACCACGAGCAACGGTAGAAGAATTTCACAATGAGAAAATAGGAATTACAACTTATCTCGATCTAACAAGGAGAAAACAATGACAATTCTCTCTTGATAAAAAGGAAAAAACAACTCTCAATAAAACTCTTTAAATTATCTAGTATTTGGAGAAAGCTAGAATGATTTGGCATGGTTTTGAAGCTAAATGGGTTAGGGTATTTATAGTTGAAGCTTAAGGACTAATCTTGTAAATACCATAAAAGTATAAGGACTAAATTGGGTATTTTACCCTTGCACATTTTCAACAAAAAAATCGGTGGAATTGTTTTCTAATATTTTTGTCAACTTTCGGTGGAATTATAATCCCATTTTTTTCAACTTTCAGTGGATTTGTCAGCTTTCAACACATTTGAAGTTTGAAATTTCTTAGAGAATGGGTATGAATGAGATGAAAGGATTATATGAATGAAAATTCTAAATTTGATCAGAGAGTTTGAATTTCAGACTTAAGATGAAGGATTTTGAGACAGAGAATGAATTCTTTAAGAAGTTACTTGGAATCACAAATAAAATAAGATTATTTAGTTTTATATTTCCTGATTCCAAATTAGTTCAAAACAATTCTTGAAAATTTTGAAGCTATCATTTTAACATTGAAAAATATTAAAGATTTGCCAAAGGTTACATTGGTAGAATTGATGAATGCTTTGTAGGCACAAGAACAGAGAAGGCTCATAAGATTTAAAGGGTCTATTGAAGGTAAGTTAGCAATAAAAATGCAATATAGTCAAGTAAAATAAATAGAAGAAATATGAGAAGAACAATAAGAGAAATCTAGGTTTTGATTCTTCCAATACAAAAACAAGAACAAAATCTAATTTCCCTCATTGTAGACATCTTGGTAGAAATGATCATCCACCTTTCAAATGTTGGATAAATCCAAATCAACAATGCAAAAAATGTCTGAATATGAGAAATCATCAAGGAATTTGTAAAAACAATACTCAACAAAAGTCTATCACACATAAATTTGCAGTAGAAGAATGTTTCTCAAATTGTTGACGAAGAAGAGGAAGAGAAACTCTCTGTGGCCGCTTACTTTGTAGCCTGTCATTTAAATGAGAAATGACTTATTGAGAGTGGTTGTGCAAATCATATGACTTTTGATAGTGATCCCTTCAAAGAATTGGATACTTCTATAGCTTCAAAAGTAAAGATTGACAATGGAGAGTGTTATAGTCAAAGGAAACAAACTGTGAAAATTGAAAGTATTTCAGGTACAAAATTTATAAAAGATGTGTTATTTGTACGTAACATCAATAAAAAATTATGAGTGTTGGTCATTTAATTCAAAACGGTTTTAAAATTGTCTTTGAATTAAATCAATATTTAATCAAAGATTAATTCAAAGATGTAACTGATAATAATGTGTTCAAAGTAAAAACGAGAGAGAAGAACTTTGTATTTGATTCATTGAAGGAGGAACAAATCGTATTCTCAGTAATAAAACCTCATGTTAAAGTTTGACACAAGAAGCTTGTATATTTCAATCATGCATCTGTATTGATTTTACAAAGAAAAGAACTGATTCAAGGTGTCATTTATATTGAATATGAAATTTCAGATTGTAGAGCTTGCAAAGAAGCAAAGCAGTTGAGACTTCCATGCAAACAATCAACTTGAAGAGTTATTGAAAAATTATAATTGGTGCATAATTATGTAGTTGAACTTCAAAATACTCAATCTCTAAATGAAAATAAGTATTTTTTTATCTTCATTGATGACTATTCTTGAATGTGTCAAATCTATTTTCTTAGATTTAAGTCCAAAGTTATTAGTGTATTTTGACAATTCAAGAAACAAATCGAAACACAAAGTGAATACAAAATTCAATTTTTGAGATCTGATAATAACACGAAGCATACCTCTAATCAATTTAATATCTTCTGCGAAGAGGCGGGGATTGAACATCAACTTACTGCTCTACACACTTCACAATAAAATAGAGTAAGTTAGAGAAAGAATTGTATATTAATGGAGATGGCTAGATATTTGATGTTTGAAAGAATTTATAAAGAAATATTGGGTTGAGACAACTTACACTGCAATCTGTTTTCCCAACAAGCTTCCTACAAAAGCTATTGTAAATTTAACTCCGTTCGAAATCTGGTATGATTTTAAATATTCTTTTTCAAATTTCAAAGTTTTTGGATACTTGTGCTTTGTTTATGTTCCTCGAATTAAAAAGGATAAAATATCTAAAAAGACAGGAGTATAGATCTTTGTTGACTATAATACAATATCTAAAGCTTATAGAATTTTTCAACCAAACACTAAGAAAACTCTAGTAAGTAGAAATGTTCATTTTGTGGAGAATGATGAGTGGAATTGGATAGAAAAACAAATAGTTGTAGTACTTGATTGAATTATAAAATTGCAATTCAAGGAAGATGAGTCGATTGATGATACATTTGTTAGAGGTATGAGATCACTTGATGATATATATCAAAGATGCAATGTGGATGTATTTGAACCAACATATTTTTGAAAATCTGAGAATGATCCAAAATGAGTTACAACAGTGAAGGAAGAGCTCATCATGATCGAAAAGAATAACACATGAAAGCTGGTAAAAAGATCTACCGATAGAAGAGTGATTGGAGTGAAGTGGATATTTATAACAAAGCTGAATCTCGATGGCGACAAGCATAAAGCCAGGCAAAAGGGTATGCTCAAATTTTTGGTGTTGATTTCTTCGACATTTTTGCTCCTGTTGTTAGATTTGATGCGATCAGATTGTTACTTACGATAACTGCACAAAAGGGTTGAAAACTTTATCAACTTGATATTAAATTAACATTCTTGAATGGTTTCTTGGAGGAAAAAATCTACATCGAGCAACTTGAAGATTTTACAGTGAAAAGGCATGAATATGATGTGTACATGCTCAATAAGACATTGTATGGCCTGAAACACGTGTTAAAAGCTTGATATAGTAAAATTAATGAGTACTTAATATAATCGAGTTTCAAAAGAAGTATCAATGAAATTACCTTCTAAATTAGAGGTGATGAAATCAATTTTTGTTGTTGTTTCCTTATATGTCGATGATTTTTTGGTCAGATAAAACAATGAAAAACTTGTTAGAAAGTTCAAAAAATATGACGCAAACCTTCGAGATGACGAATTAGGGAGAAATGATTTACTTTTTAAGAATGGAGATACAACACAAAAATTGAGAAGTGTTCATATGCTAGAAGAAGTATGCTAAGAAAATTCAAAAAAAAAAAAATTCAGAATGGATGAATACAAGAGTATAAATACTCTAATGTGTCAAAAGAAAAAGTTGACCAAAGAAGATAAAGTTGAAAAATCGATGAAACTTTTTACAAAAGACGAATTAGTTGCTTGATGTCTCTAACGCTACAAGACCTGGTATCTTACATTATGTAAGTCTGTTATCCAGATTCAGGAATTGTGTAACTGAAACATATCATGCTGGTTCTAAAAGAGTCCTTAGATACATGAGAGGAACACTAGATCATGGAATTAGATTTTGTGTAAATCATGGTTATGTTTTACAAGGCTATTCAGATAGTGATTGGGGAAGGTCACTTGATGATTTAAAAAGCATTTCAGGTTACTGTTTCAAATTTGATTCGAGTGTGTTTTCATGGTGTTGTAAAAATATAATACAAAAACATAATCTACAATAAAAATTGAATTTATTGCAGCTAGTGTTACTGTCAGTGAAACTTCATGGTTAAGAAAAATTTTGGTGGATTTGAACCTGCATCAAGAAAGATGTACAAAAGTGTTTGTTGATAATCAAGCTGCAATTTTTATCTCTAACAATCCTATTTGTTTTGGAGAAATGAAGTGCAAACGGAGGGTTAGTTGGCCCAAAGTACAGTAAATTTGAACTTCAACTAGTTGATATGTTCACAAAGCCTCTATCAAGAAGCAAGTTTGAATTTCTTAGATAGAAACTCCTAGTTTGCAACAACCAAAGCAAGGAGGAGTGTTCGAGTTGTGTTTCAACTACTGTAATTTTAGTTAAAATAATCGTACTATTCTCTCTCTCTCTCTAATTTGTTTTTCTTATTGTTATAGATTTTAGGAGTTTGTTTATCATAAATCTGGTTGTTGCTTGATTTTAGGATGATGTTATTTATTTTTGTATTTACACAACACTTCAACTTCAATAAATGTATGTGCTTTTCCCTTCAATTTATTTTCTTCTTTCTACTCTCTAGACTTTTATCTTTTTTTGGTATAACTATATGGTATTCAATCTATTGAACGAATAATCCGAATCAGGTACTGCAGAGGTAAAGACGACCCGACCTTACTGAAGAGATCTATTGTCTCATCCGACTAGACCAATTGATTGTTGGTAATTAAATAGATCTAGCGCCTCATCCAAACTTTTATCTTTGATTCCTTAAATTACATCAGTTTATTCCAACAAAGGAAGAATACGACAGGGTGACAAAAAAAATGTAATGTATAAAGTTTAATAATTAAATTAAAAAAAATTAAAGGTACAATAAGTAGAATAGTAAAAAGAATAAAATTCAGTGAGTAAATATATATGTATGTGTGTGTGATCTAAGTACATAATATCAAATTGTTTTTAATTTTATATGTATTTAAGATTATTAGATGAGTGAAAATAGAATGTTAAGATTAATACTAAAAATAAAAAGATATTTATTGATATATTTATAAATTGCTAGTGTTATTTTTCACCGTACTGTATTTTTGTCATAGAAATCGTTGTTGCCATTATCATGAATACAGATATCATTCGTAGAAACTGCAACAGGCAGAAGTAGAGAGATGTTTTGGAGTGCAATTATGTGGGAACCACTGATTATTGATTGAACCCAAAATTAAACATACACTTAGTTCAATAATCAATCCCATTATTAAAACATTGATCCTAACTCTAAAGATTATTATGAACAAAGACGAAAATCAAACAGAATTAGGGGGACGAAATGAATCCAATGCAGTCGAATAATAAGATCAATAAGGCTAATAAATCAGGTGCTAGTTCTAGATATTATGGGGTCAGCAAGATGAGACCTCAACTGGACCATAAGGAGCTAAGCCTGGATGCCAGTTTCTCACTCTTGTAGTCGTCTCTAAGCTGAATAAACCTGAATAATACAAAATCCGAATCAAAATTAAGAACCTTCACAAACAAAAATCACCTGCTTCATCTATTCCCCCCCCCCCAAATTTTCATACCCAATAGATTTCAATTTGAAACTTCCAAAATGTTATCATTTCTTTTAATTCGATCTAATTAGTAGATTATCATTTATTATGAACATCATATACTAATTAAGAAGATAATTTGAAGTTACGAAATTAAAATAAATTTTGATCAAATTTTGATCGAGTAAGATTTGAATGAGTAAGGAGGTAAGATGAGCCTTTTTCTAGTTCAGGTCAAGTTTTGATAGATGTAGGACTTTCTTCACATGCATTTCAAGTATAGGGATCGACTAAGGGAGGAGTGGGTGGGACAATGGCCCACTTGAATTATTAAATTTTCATATAACTTAGTTATTTTTTTATATTTTTTATTGATTGTTTAATTTTATTTCTTAAATTTTATGATTTCACACCTTAAATATATACTATAATTTATTAAATATACATTTCGCACCCGATATAAAGTTCAATCTCCGTCCCTGATTTCAAGTGAAAATTTTAACCTAGGGTTTTTACGGTTCATCTTGTTGCACTGCACAACAATTACCTACCGGATAGTACAAGCAGATACAGATGACAGAACATTACCTTTGTGCGTCTTTCCTGATGCTCGGGGTACCCTCAAACAAGGAGGAGAGACTTTCAGGAGCAACAATGAACACATTGGCCAATCTGAAGACAAAATAGTTCATCAGTAAAATACCGACCAAAAACAATAGAGTTGCAGTGAACCATGAGTGCAATAACTTACATGCCAAGCAATTCAAATTTCTCATCAACAGAAGGGGCATTGAAACTGCGCACAAATTCTCCATACTCTGTTATGTCACGCTTCAGTCTTAGTCCTCCACTGCAAACCAGTACACAAGATTAAAATGACATGCAAACGAATATGCCGATAGTTATGTTGTGCAACGGGAAAATCTAATATTAATTTGTAACGAGTTTTAACTTAAAATGTTACTTTGTTTACTTTAAAAAGTAATACAATTGGTAATAATTCCGGTTACAATTGAGAATGGTACATGGGTTTCTTGACAGTAATTTTTTAGGTTACAAATATAATAGTTATGCAATTTACATGATTTGCTATGCAAAACGTAATATTTATGGATTTAACTTGAAATGTTACCCAACTTACTCTAAAGAGTTGCACACTTGATAATTTTTTTTAGTTACAATCGATTAGTCTTTTTTTAACCTTATATTATCAGTTTGTATTTTAGACTCCCACAAATATACACCACTATCACACCTACACAGTTTTCTATGGTACACATTCAAAACCATATGCATAACAGTTGCCATTTCACTGATAAAAAACAACTGGCAATAGGAAATTGAATCGAGGCGAAATACCTGGGATTAAAAGTGAACTTCATCCAATGATTAATTAGTCCTTTGTACAAGTTATTTCCCTGAAATGAATATGATCAGCATTTTACTTTCAGAATGTGGTATAAGAACTTATCAAAACAGTATAAATAACAAAAAAAATATAATCGAAAGATAAATAAATACCACATGATCCTAATATGTCTGGAGCTTGAAAGAATTTAGAGAAAAGATTTACATCAGATCACTCACATCTTGAGAGTAATGCCAATGATTAACTGGTCCATTGAACAAGTGATTAACTAGTGGCACCATTGCCTACCATTTTCTAAGTTTCTAGAGCAAATTTGTTTGAACTTGATAGTTGTCCTAACTTCCATGTTTCACCACGATGTGTCCTTACATGGTGACACCATGGCCTTTGACTCAACAGATACCTCCTTCACCAGTCTTCTAATACAACTAGCCATTTTACTACACATCAAAGCAGATTCTAGCACATACCACATAAAACAAAAATGCTGAAAATTATCAAGGAATGCATCACATAAAAAACTGATACAATTGCATGGATGAAGTTCTTGATATGTGCAAGCATCCATTAATTCATAACTATAAAACAACAATCTTGCAAAGTGAAAGTAATTTGTTCAATATTGATTGTACACATAGTAAATTAGCAGACTCAAAAGTCCTGGAAATATCTAAACAATAATCAAGGAAATAACAAATTATAAACAGCATACCAGTTCAGTCAGGAATGCTTGTTTGTTAAGACCCTCTAATGCAGTGAATGCAGCCTCGAGGACCCGAGAAAGATAAGAAACAACTCTAGACACGGGAAAAAAGACAAAAGAAACAGAAATTAATAAAATTTGCATTTTACATCAGCAAGGCTAAAGAAGAGATCTACAACATGAAACTGAATTTATTTAGTTCAATTATCAAGTAGACAACAAAGTGTAACATAAACGAAGCTACAATTGGTGCAAACTGTTATAGGCAAAGGTCTTGCATCATGTTTCAGAACCAGTCAGCTTCGCATCTGTTGAGTTTCTAATGCTGCCACAAGAGTTTACTAGAAGCTATATCACTTGGACTCGTGTGCGACTGTTGGATACAAGCATACATCTAATATAGCCAGGTATGGTCAGATTTTTTTCTTAGTTTATCCATGTATTAGAGGATCTGAAAAGGTCATGTACACATAAGTTGGATAAAAGTACTTCAAGAAAAATGAAGAGTTGTGACACAAGGGCTTATATTATTATAATATTTATTACTTCAGTTTTATTAAATATTAGAGATATTTTGGATGGTTAGGATAATAATTTTCCTTTATGTTTTAAATCTAGGACTAGGATTAAATTATCTTTGTAATCCTAATATAAAAACGCTGTAAAAGTATTACAATCACAGCTTAACGTTATCATTTCTTTGAATTAAAAGAAAACTAAAGATTTCCTTGAACTCTAAGTTTTTCCTGAGTTCCATCTTTCTTAGTCGTTTGTTCATTCCTATTTCTATTTTTTGTTGCTGTTTTTCTTCTTATCCACATCAACTTGGTAATCATTCTCGTTAGATCAAGGGTTTAAGATAATATTTACTTTGAAGCCATGTTTGGACATGGTAAAGGCTGTCCAAGAGGAAATCAGGGTCAAGAGACGAATTTGGTTGCAATTGGACATGCGATAGAAGAATAATCGTGTGCAATTCATGATATGCTATGATAGGAACCAGTGGAAGCTCGGATGAAGGTTAAGAAAAGTGCCCACAATCGGTTTGAAATACCAAAAGGTCGTCAAGTTTTTTACTTTCAAGGTAAGATACATGCGAAAGATTATTTAGATTCGGAAGCTAGTTTGGAGAATTATTTCAAGCGGAATCCTATGATAAAAATAAGGAAGGTGATGCTTATGAAGCTAAAAATGAAAAGATATTGCACATCAACGGTGGAAGAGAGTTGAAGAGCAACATGCACGCAAAGACAAGTCAAAATTAACACATGGGAGCACATGAAAGAAAAATTGCGTAAACAATTACTACCCGCTGATTATGCAGTGGAGTTATACGAGAAGGTCCACTAGTTAAGGCAAAAGGGATTATTAGTGGAAGAATACAACTCTAATTTAACAATCTTTCTATTAGAGTTGAGTTGAATAGGGGTAATGAACAGATAAATTCTCATTATCTTGCGGGATTAAACCAGTCTATCAAGATTCAAGAATGAGATGCGAGTGGTTCGATTATTCAACTCAAAGATGTACGAACACATGCTTTAATGGCTGAAACACGTGTTGGCAATATTGGTTCAAGAAAGTTTGTGTTCGAAAGAATTGTAGTACAAAGAGGGTTTGGATCTGTCTAAGTGTTAAAACAAAACAAACAACCTTCGAAACCGATCATGAGGCTTTTATGAATCATGGTGGAGGAAAAATGAGAAATCTTGAGGATTGCTGGGCCAGACAGAACATTTCTAAGACTGGTAGCAACTGTCATATTCATTGTTTTACTTTTGGTGAAAAAGGACATGGTACTTATCCTTGTCCTAACCAAACGGTGACTTTAACCAAGATGGTAGAGCAAAAGGACATTATCCTAGACCCCATTTATGATGAGTATGTCAAAGAGAATGAAGAAATTGATGTGTCCCTGTTCAAGGTGAATCCTTGGTTGTTCGTAAAGTGTTGACAACATCAATCAAAGGAGAATGAGGGTTTCAGACATATCCTTTTGAGGGCTTTGATGGGGTGTTCTTGAACTTTCAGATTAGATGCAACAACTTCCTTGTAGGTTATGTAAGTGTAAGGTTGTAGGAATTATAGAAATGAGCTGTTCCATCCCTTAAGTTAAGAGATTCTGTAATTATTCTTTCTGTTTCAATCCTTTATTTCAAGGGATTACATCTCCTAGGATTAGTATCTTTCCTAACTTAGAGTTTCCTAGTTAAGAGACATAGTTTGTATATAGAGATGTAATATGTCCAACTGAAATATACAAGAATAAAAATAACAGAGACTTACTCTGTTTTCTACATGGTATCAGGTTAGAGCAATCAATTCAATTTTCGATTCTCTTAAATCAATTCCTGTTCAAATCTATTTTTTCCATGGCTAATCCGGATTCCTCAGCATCCGAAATCACTTCCCAGACCAATCCCTCTCAATCTGATTTTCAGATTTCAGATTTTAGATTTCAAATTTCCGATGCTTCAGCACTTGTCACCAGTTCCAACTCTAGGAACAGCAGAGGAAAAATTGCCTCTGGACTGAACATTGTAAGAAACCAGGCCATATGATAGATCAATGTTGGAAGCTTCACGAAAAACCAGCTGATTGGCAGTCCACACAGTCCAAGTTTCTAAAGGAGGCCCATATTGCCTCTCAAGATGATTCCTCAAAAGCAGTTTTAGCAAGAAACAGATAGAGGAGCTGCAGCAGATTTTGAGCAGTATGACAGCCAAGCCTACCAATGTGGCTTATACTGCTAATGAAGTTAAAAATCCATATGCTTCCTCGATACAATGGATAATAGACTCGGGTGCATCAGATCATATGTCAGGAAATATTGATCTCTTGGAAGAATATAGTGACGGCAGCTTACCAGCTTTTATCAAAATAGCAGACGGCTCTCTCACTACAGTTAAAGGGAGTGGTTCTGTTACATTAAACAAAAATCTACTACTTCATAATGTCCTATATGTTCTTAGACTTGTATGCAATTTGTTGTCAGTCAGCAAATTAATTAAAGATTTTGGTTGTAATGTTGTGTTTGGCACTGGTAATTGCATTTTTCAGGCACAGGGCTCGAAGAGGGTGATTAACAGTGCTAGGCTGGGCAAAGGATTGTCAGTGCTAGGCTGGGCAAAGGATTGTACACCCTTGGAGGTAGAGTATCTCAAAATCATGTCTTATCCAGTGCTCTTAGGAAACCAGTTTTATCTTCTGATCTTAATACCAATAAAATTATGTTATGGCACTCTAGATTAGGTCATCCTATTTTTTTCTATCTTTCCAAAATGTTACCAAACTTATTTATAAATAAAGATCCATCTTTGTTTTCCTGTGAAACTTGTCAAATAGTCAAACACACCAGAAAACCATATATTGCAACCAAATTTGAACTAGCAGCACCTTTTTCCATCATCCATTGTGACATTTCGGGCCCTTCTCCTGTCAAAAGTATTTCTAGGTATAAGTGGTTTGTGTCTTTTACAGATGATTACTCTAGGACAACATTGGTATTCTTAATGAGAGAAAAGTTTGAGGTTAAGTCTCTCTTTAAAAGTTTTTATCAAACAGTTGAACCCCAATTTGATGCAAAAATAAAAATTCTAAGGAGTGACAATTGGAGTGAGTATTTGAATAAAACCCTTGGGTATTTCTGTAAGGAAAAAGGCATTGTTCACCTTACTTCTTGTGTCAACACACCTCAACAAAACGGGGTAGCAGAAAGGAAAAATAGACATCTTCTAGAGGTTACTAGGTCTCTTATGTTTGCTGTTAATACTCCCAAGTATCTTTGGGGGGAAGCTCTTCTTACAACCACTTACCTCATCAATAGAATGCCAAGTAAGACCTTAAGTTTCAAAATTCCTACTAAGGTTCTGTTTCAGTTTTTCCCCATTTTAAACATTTAAACTCAAATATTTCTCCTCGGGTGTTTGGGTGTACATCCTTTGTTCATATCCACAACAGAGGGAAATTAGATCCTAGGTCCATAAAGTGTGTGTTCTTGGGCTATTCTTCGAGTCAGAAGGGTTACAAGTGTTACTCACCTTCCACAAAAAAGACCTATGTCTCATTTGATGTTACATTTTTTGAAAACCAACCTTATTTTTCAGGAACAAAAATTCAGGGGGAGAGTTTCAAGGAATTTCAACCTGTTCAAACCAATATTTCTTTACAGCATATCCTTTCTTTACCTATTACTGTCTCTCCACAGCCGGTTAGCACTGTCCTAATTCCTAGTAAGGGTGATGGGAATAATCTAAATAACTTTGATGAATTACCTTCCTCCTTATCTCAACACTCTAGTCCGTGCAAAACACTTTCTACCATTACCAAAAATGCACCTAACAATGACCTTGAAACCATAACTCCCCAACGAAGTAACTCAGTGTTTACTCAAGAAGAATGAAAGTTGTTGCTGAAGAAAGCAGTCAACCTAGCATTTGCCAAGAACCAGATTCGGATCCTGTTGCAGCTGAAACAAAAGGTAATAATGATTCCCAAGAGGCTATTGTTGTTTATCTTGATGACTTTCCTATTGCTATTAGGAAGAGAGGTAAGAAAATGCACTGCTCATCCCATAAATAAGTATGTTGCATATGAGAAATTATAGTCTAATTTTAGGGCCTTCACTGCCAGCATTAACAATGTGAAAATCCCAAGAAATGTGACAAAAGCATTGCGAATGAATAGATTCGATGAGGAAGAGTAGCAGATCAGGTGTGGTGTTTAAGACCAATTTCAGGAAAACTTACGACTTGGTCGTCTTGGGGTTTTTTATGCGGGTCTTGAAGGAGATGGGTTTTAGCGCGTGGTGGTGTAATTGGATCTTCGAATGTATCTCTATCGCTTCCATTTATGTTCTCTTAATGGCTCCCTCACTGATAGATTCTAGCTAGTGAGAGGCCTTAGGGAGGGGTGCCCTCTCTCGCAGTTGCTCCTTAATTTAGTTGATGAAACGCTTAACCTGATGATCGTTAAGGCGATTAATGCTAGTTTATTTTTTGGTTACTTAGTAAGTTAAGGCTCGTCGGGTGTTGAGAATTCCCATCTTCAATACGTTGACGACTTGATAATGTTCTGTGTGGCCTCGGAGACTTAAGTCCAGAATACGAAAAGAGTGTTGAGAGTTTTTGAACTAGCACCTAGCCTTGAACTTAATTTGAAGAAATGTATGGTTTTCGGTTTAAACACTAAAAAGAACGAGGTGCATGTGTGGTCAAACCGTGTTAGTTGTCTGGCCGAAGTTTTTCGTCTAGTTATTCCTTTAAGGGCTCAACGTAATGCTCGTTCGATGTGGGAGCCGGTGATTGAGAAAGTGGATAATCAACTAGCGAGCTGGAAATCTATTTCTCTTCCGTTTGGAGGCATAATTTCTTTGATAAAGTCAATCTTGTCTAATCTCCTTATCTTTTTCCTGTCATTATTCAAGATGTCTGCTGCCGTTTACAACAAGTTGAACAACCTTTTTTCAAGGTTCCTTTGGCGTGGCTCGTCAAATAGGAAGGGGATCCACTGGATTAGCTGGAACAACGTTTGTAAACCAATAAAGTACGGATGTTTAGGGTTGGTGGATTTAAAGCTCAAAACTTCGGTCTACTTGGAAAATAGTGCTGGAGATTTTGTAACGAGCCATTGAGCCCCTATAAACAAACCATCACTAAAAAGTATAACATCGACCCCCACTATCCTCCCTCCAATTTTGGAGCCGCACGGGGTTTCTTGGATTTGACATGGAATTCTATTTACTTATAGTGATGTTGGCGAGGATCTTAGTTTGAAAGAGCTTTTCCAACTACAAGTCGGAGATGGCAATATAATCATATTTTGGCATGATAGGTGGATCGACAATCGACCTTTAAAATATATTTTTCCGTGAATATTTGCCTTGGCCTTGAATAAAGAATGGTCAATAGCATAATTTGGTGTGAAAAATGATTTGGGATGGAGTTGGAACATTTTGCTTAGGAGGGATGTTTTCGATTGAGAAAAGTTGCAATGGGAGGCGCTGCTCCGGCTTCTTAACAATTTTGTGATTTCGTCATCATCTACTGATTGGGTCAAATGACTCGGTTCTAGCGATGAACTTTACACAGTAAAATCAACGTCTTATCTTAAATATCCTAGCGAGCCTGTTGAGTTTAACTGGAGGAAGTTCGAATGGTTAATAATCGCTCCTTTTAAAGTGGAAGCCTTTGTTTGGTGAGTGCTTCAGCGAAGAGTCCCAATCAGGGCATAACTTATAAAGACAGGGGTCGCATTGCCAGTTTCGATCTATCCACCCTGTTTGAAATTCTAGGAATTTGTTGATCATTTATTTTTCTCCTGCGATGCTTATTAGGAAGTTCGGGGAGTCTTCCTCGCTTTATGGGGTGTCTCGATTGCTCTACCTATCGACCCCATCAGATTTATGACGATATGGAATGTGTCCCTCCCTTTAAATTTGCATCGAAGGATTGTTTGGAGCACCTTGCGTTTTGCATCATATGGTCAATTTGGTCATACACAAACTAATAGGTATTCAATAGAAAAGAAGTAGACCTGACAATCTTGACCCGTAATATAACATACTCAATATCGAGTTAGTGACTAAATTGTAAAATTTAAGAATTTGGTGATTAAAGTAGAATAATTGAATAGTTCAAGGACTTATATGGAATATGTTGTGTAGGATTGAATTACAAAGAAGAAGGAATTCAAGGACAAAACAGTCTTTTGGTAAGGAAATAATTAAATTTGGATGTAGTTATATTTAACCAACATGGAATAGGAAATGAAGCAAAAATCTAAGCTTCCAGAGTTCTTTACTTTCCCTCTCTTCTTCATACGTGAAGGCCTAAAGTAAAGGTGAGATTTCTTATTAGTTGATTATTAGCTAAAATTTAAGTAAGGTTTTGTTCTTTAGATTATACTTAAGCTTAAGGATAGCTTAAGTTACCTTAAAAGTCAATGATAAGAAAGTTATGTGGGATTAAAGAAAAGAGAGAATAAGTGAAATCTTGATAGGAAGGTATTAATTAGATTTCAATACTAAATTTGACTTGTCATTTGTGGAATTAAGGAGTATGAAGTATTAGAATTGGATTTCGAGCATGTTGAAAATTGAGTATGATTCTTGAATTCCATGTAGAGGATAGAATTTTGAAGTTAAAGATGTGATAAATGAGTATTAATGGGTTTATGCATGTTTATATGAGTTAAGAATATGAAAGGGGATGAAATAAGGAGTGTTTAAGTTGAAATAAAGTAATTTTTGGGCTTAAAAAGTGATTTATGGGCAAGGGGTATCGATACCTATTCATTAGGTATCGATACTTCAAGAGTAAAATTTAGGAAGACACTCAAAGGGTATCGATACCTTAGAAGGTAGTATCGGTACCCTAGCATAGAGGTATCGATACCGGGTTAAGGGTATCGATACCAGGGAAACTTCGAGCCTAATTTTGGTATCGATACCTAGGAAGGGTATCGGTACCCTAAGAGTAGAGGTATTGATACTGGGACTATAGTACCAAATTAGCTGACCCTTATTCCCGTATGTAATGGGGTAAGGGGGAGGTAGGATAGTAGGCTGCCCCCAATGCCAGGTTGAGAGCACAAACAAGTTCCGGAACGGTCACAAAGTCAGGATTGATCCAAAGAGATAGAATTATAAGTGAATTTGTGATTAAGCAAGATTAAGGTGAGTGCATACTATAGATATAATTCAATGGAAATAAGACTTGTGATAAGTCTATTTCCTATATTTGACTTCATGCTTTCCTTATATATATATATATATGCATATATTATGGTTATGATAAGTGTTAGCATAACTCTTAATTACTGTAACATAATATAATATAAATGTATGCAATTATAAGAGAATAAATCTAGGTATGTGAAATAACAAAGTGATCATATGTGTGTATGTGAAGTGAATGATGTGTTTATATGAGAAGTGATAAAAGAGTTTATGAAAATGTGAAATGTATCCATGTTTAAGCCCATGTTATATAATATGAGAGCTGTAGGTATAATTGACATGCCTAGAGTCGAGGGATTATAAGTGGTCCTTCGGGACATAGTGGTCATTCGGGACAAATTTTCAGTGCCCCTAATGGGAATTTATTTGAGCTGTGGTGACAACATTTGTGCATAATCTCAGTGTACTCACGTACCTTCTATTCTCAATAATGTACATGGGCATTCAAAGATAAATTAAAAATGAACTCTCATAATAAGTTAAGTTTCGTTTGTGCATATTATGAGTATATATGCTATAGTTAGTAAATATATGCAAATTGGATTGTTACGATAGAATAGTATTAATACGTGTTCATGAATTCATTATTATATGTTCGTTTATGTCTCAATAAGTCTGTAACTTAGCGTGTAAGTGATTTACACGTAAGTACCAAGAAACAGGATGGCCAGAATTAGGAGTTGCAAGGACAACATACCTTTACTAGCAGATTAGATCATAAGTAAATTGCAATGTATGTATTTTGTTGTATCAAGTGTGTTGGCATGTAAACAAGTTGTAAATTATACATGCTATGATCGATTTTGTATTATTTTGGTTTAACTTATGTAAATTAATGCATTTTATTTTAATGAAAGTTTTAAATTTCCATGAATTTTATAAGAGTCGAGTTTTGAAAAGTCTAATGTGACATCTCAGATTCGTATCTGGGTCGGGTACGGGTTGGGGGTGTTATATTTAATGGTATCAGAGCTATGATTTAACTGATTCTCGACATAAACTAGTCTAAAGTGTCTTTAAATGTGTACATGCCAACATGATAGTAAGAACTTCTGATCTGATAAGAGTAATAAGTATGTTATGCTAATAGAAATATTTGGTTATATCTTATTAGATGTTCGGACAAGATAGCTCTCGAAGTGAAGCGGGAGATGATAGGCTAACTGAGAGTAGCAATTCACCTGCCCTGGCTAGGCAAGGTGAAGAACAGACACCTTCTGGAGTGCCTGTGAGTGTTCAAGATGTTTTCTTCCGGACTTTGGACGTGTTATTGGCGTGTTTTCAACCTCATGTCTCTTAAACTCAGAAATGAATATTGTGAATGAATTGAAGAGTTTAAGAGATCCAGAATATAGAAGTGAAGCCAAAGAATGTCCTTGTTCCGATTCGGAGAAGCTGGATGGAGTAGTCTCCTTGCTCCGAGGCCAAACGAGAATTTGGTGGACCAATGTTACACTGAGAATGACTAGTGATCAAATAACTTGGTCCTTGTTTTTAGAGGAATTCAAGCATAAGTATATAGGAGATCAGTTCATCCGGCATATGAAGCAAGAGTTCATGAATTTGAAGTAATGGAACCGTACAGTGTATAAATATGAGTGTGAGTTCAACAAGTTGAGCCGCTTCGCTACCGAACTTATTCCAACGGAGAAGGATGCTTGTGAATAGTTCGTGGAAGGTCTGCGTCCAAGATTAAAAGAAATGTTGATTGTGTTGAACCTGTCTTCATTACAAGAAGTGGTGAACCGTGCCAAAGCTTTGGAAAGAGCTCAGAACGAGAGGTTTGGAGATCCAAAAGCTCAGACATCTAAAAGAACGGGTGGTTCTTCAAGTTCTGCACCAGCAAAAAGGGGCAGAGATGTTGGTTCTCGACCCCAAGCTAGATCGGAGTCAGTGGCATCCTCAGCTAGAGGATCAAATCCAATGAGAGGCAGACAAACTCAGTCAGTAGGATCTACAGCTGGGAGATCTAACCAGAGCCAAGTCAGACAATGTCCACATTGTGAAAGGAATCATTCGGGATTTTGTAAAATGATTCTTGAGCCTGCTTCAAATGTGGGGACATCGTGCATTTTATCCAAGATTGTCCCATGATAGCTGGTGAGTCTGCGCAACCAGAGAGACCTGCTTCTACGACTTAGAGGGGAAAAGGTAGAGGTAGAGGCAGAGGACGAAGTCAGCCAGAGTCCTATACTCAACAAGAAATATGCTCAACTGCTCGAGTGTATAACCTCAAGACCAATGAGGATTGAGATGACCCGGAGATAATAACAGGTATATTTCCATTGTATGACAAGAGTATTTTGGTACTGATTGATTATGGTTCTACTTATTCTTGCCTTACTAGTAAGCCAGTGAGGGAATTGAACATTCAGTTAGAAGCTACTAGCAATGATGTGATAGTGACGAATCCATTATTGCATAGTGCTCGTATAAATTTGGTGTGTAAGGGGTGTTACATGTAACTAATTACCTAAACCAATTTACCCGATCTAAGACCTGATATAGACCCGAACAGGATGACCCAAAATTGATCTGAAATCTGAAATAACCCGAATCAAACCGAAACTACCTTGAAATTTAGTTGATCTGAAAGCAACCAAAACCGAAATTAACCCGAACTAAAAGTAACCCAAATTTAGTTTACCCATACCCGAACCGAACCGAACTTCGACCCAATTTTAACCCTATAATTGAGTCTAAATGAATAGGTAATTTATTTATTTATTATTATCTAATTTAGAATTGATAAATAGTAAAATGATCTATGGTTTATTCTCATTTTTTTATTATACTACTAGTTAACCACTACTTCTAGTAATAGTTTAATGGTTCAATATAATATTTCCTCATTTAATACATCATCTCTATGTTTGATGAAATAACTTCTAGCTTTGAATTTGAACGGTGACAATATATATTCACATAAAATTATTAATTTTAAAGGTTGATTCAATTGATTAAAACTAAAACTTCAACTCTGGATTTGAGATGTGACAATATATACTCATATAAAATTCTTAAATTATAAGTACTAAAGAGAAGCACTAAACGTTATGACAACAAAGAGCGACAACGATTAACTTAAAAATCTAAAGGTTGACCTGAAAATCTAAAGGCTAACCCGGAAATTTAAAGGTTAACCCGAATTGAAACCTATCCGAATGAACCCAAAAATCTAATGGTTGACTCAAACCGAAGCCAACCGATCCGATATTGACCCGACCCGGACCCAACTGATCCCATATTAACCCGACTCGAAAATCAACCGATCCAATTTTGACTTAACCCAATATCTGACCTGAACTGAATTTCCATAGACTTGAACCAAATTCGATCCAAACCGAACCAAGCTGAATCTAAATCGAAATAATCTAGACTCAAAATGACCCGACCCGAACTCGATCTGAATGACCTAATTGTTGCCACCTCTAGAAAGAAGCTAGATGTGTTATAATTGGTTTTTCTTATTAAATATCGTGTTGCTTGCTGGTCTAAGGCTAAATTTCATACTCCCCTTTTTAGCTTGAAAATTTTAGCAACGGATTTAGCACTTGCGGATGATGATCTTTTGAAGAAGGTTGTGAAGCCTCATCCGTCTTGGCTCCCACCTCCGATAGGATCTTTAAAATTTAACGTAGATGGAGCAATGCGGGTGGACGGATGTGATGGAAGTATTGGTGGGATTCTTCATGATCTAAATGGTATTTGGCTACTAAGCTTCTCGGTTCCAATCGGGTACGAATCCTCGGTGCAAGTAGAAATCCGTCGAAGATGCAATTAAGTTGTTCATGGATTCAAAGTGGCTCAAGGTATTCGAGCTAATAATCGAGTGTGACTGCATTGTAGTGGTGAGTTAGCTACAGAGTCTTGCTTCTGCTCTATCAGAATGGGTGCATATTCTTCACCCTGTTACAGCGCTAGTACTTGGGGAAAAGTTCGACGTCAAGCATGTTCCCAGAAGGTACAACTCATTGGCTGACCAGCTAGCGAAGTTGGCAAATAGGTACAACTAATGTCCAGGTGGAGGCTTTCAAAGCTGAATGATTTTGGGGCTTTCTATCTTTGTATAAAGTCGGCCGGATTTGTCTTAGTCTTGGGCGAAATGTTCAGATCGTATCGAGGAAGTTTGATCTCTTAGTAATGCTTTGCAGGATAATGTTTGGGATTAGTGGCACTAGTTTGACACTGTTTTGTTTGTTTTTTACTGTGGTTGGATGTGGGGTTGTTCTCTGGTGTTGTCTTCTTTTGCGTTCTCGATAGGGTCAAATTTATTCCGTATGTCATTGCTGTGGTCACACTCTTTTTCGTCCATTTAGGTTTAGGAAGGTTTTTTAACGAAGCCACTAGCAATGAATGTATCTTTTCATTATGTGATAAAATTTCTACTTTTCAAAAAAATTATAATATTTATTTATTTCAGTTTTATCAAATATTAGAGACACTTCTTATAATTAGGATTATAAGTTTCCTTTATGTTTTAAATCTAGGGCTAGGATTAAATTATCTTTGTAACCTTAGTATAAATAAGCTGTAAAAACATCACAAGCACATCTTATCATTATTACTACTTTTGAGTAAAAAGAAAAATATATGTTTCCTTTAACCCTAAGTTTTTTTCTTCTTCTTGAGTTTCATCTGCTTTCCTACTCTTTTGTTTAGGCGTTATTTCTTTTTTATTACTGTTGTTTTTCTTCTTACACATATCAAGTTGTAGAAGCATAAACTAGAAGAACAAACCTTGTGCAAGCATTTGTTGGACGATGATCATGAATCATTCCATCATCAGGTGGGTGGTAATCAGCTGTCTTTTGCTCGGCTGTTAACAATCGCTCAACCTACAATGGAGTTTCACCGAGATAATTATGATGAATAATAAACAGGCACAATCTAATAACTTGGAGAGTAAATAATAGTGTTAAGAAAAGATGAACCAACAAGTGGGTGACGAAAAGAAAAGTCAAAAGACAGCATACACTAGACATAGGAATGAAAGTCTAATCCTCCAAATAACAAGTTTTTATTCAGTATATCTACTCCCCCCCCCCCCCCCCCAACACCAACAAATGCATTGCTGAAGCACTTACCTCGGCCATCAAAGTTTCAATGCATTGCTGAAGCCCTTTACAAGCAGCCCCCTCTGCGCTAGACATTGCCGTTGCCATTTCTTCACAAGCAGCAGCATGAGCACCATCCACAGGTAATAAAAGCCTAGATATAGAATTTGCAAAGTACTGCGGATGAAAGGTAAGATTAATTCAAAATCATGAACTTCAAATATTCTTTCATATGTGAACTTTTCTACAAGAAACAACCAAGACATTGAACATACTTGATGAATTATAGCCACACTACTGCCAGAACGTTGTACTGCGACCATGAAAGCTTTGAAACTGGTTTCACCAGCAGCTGCAGCAGCTTCTGCCTGTTCATCGATTAATTAACCACCCTTATTTCCATTATTTTTTTGTTAAATTGAAACTTAAAATGGATAAGATAAATCATAATCTGTTATGTACCTGAGAAGTAGCTGCAGCAGCCACCCTTCTACTAACACTTGTACCTATCACAAATCTTTCCCTCAAACTTGCAGCTTCAGTCAAGCCATCTCTAGCCCGTTCAAGTCCATCTGTTATGTATTTGATAACCTGAAAAATGAGACTAATTCAGTACCCATGAAAAACATCCAGACGATTTGCATGCTTAATTAATCAACTTACTTGGCCGAGTAGGCAAGTGAACACTGCTCTTACATTGGTTGCAAGTGTAACTGGCTGTCAAAGACATTGCAATAAATTAGTTGTTGATGAAATTTAAGTCATTATATATGGTTTCTATCACTCCACAAGTTTCTTTTTACCAAAAGTGTTGTGTTTTATATTTCAGATATTTTAATCATGTCACTGTAACGATACTTAATGTACCAGTCATGGTGGTGGATAAGGCCTTTGAATTGCATTGTTTAAAAGTTTTGAAACAAAATATTCGCCCACATGGAGCTTAAAAAACTCAGGGAATGCTAAGATTTAGACAATTTCAAGAGCAATATTTTTTTTTTGATAGGAAAGTAGGCCTCGTTAAAAACTCCCTTCATGATTAATGGAGCAGAAGGTGCTCCTTAATCAACAGAAGGAGGAAAATAGTGCCTTAGGATTCATTAATAACCGAAATATACATAATGTTTAAAAACAAACATAACCACTCCCTTTACAATAACCAACCCAAAGACTAATTTAGCTAATCCCAACAGAAAACTAGCCAATACCAGCATTAGCTAAACTATCAGCCTCAACATTGGCTGACCTAGAAACCCATCTAATAATACCATTCAAGTCCCTTAACTTAATAACAATATCTTTCACTAAGTTTAAGTAGACACAGGGACAGCGATCGTAATTCTTGACCCACTCCACTGCTAGTTTACTATCTGTTTCCACAATTAATCGTTCCTTAAACCGCTGATGAATCGAATCAAAGAAAGTTAAGCCCCTCTTTACTGCCATAAGCTCATTTAACAAAGGAGGACCTGGACCAGCAGCCTCTTGAAAAGAACCCATCACCGAGCCATCCTCACCTCTAAGAAATACCCTAACACCACTTTTCCTCCAATCTCTATTCACTGCTGCATCCACGTTTAATTTAATAAAGCCCTTTGGAGGAGGAGACCAAGACACAATTTCAATGATAGAACACCTTGAATTCGAGCAACAATCCCCAAGAGATGGATCAGTAATGAGAGAGTCCTTTAGAATAGAGACCTCCTTGAAATTAGCTAGGAACCAAGTAGCCAGCCTACATCTTGCCATAAAAAACAAATCAATCTGCGTTCCCCCATCAAACACAATGTCATTCCTAAATTTTCAGATAGTCTATAGCACCACCCCCTGAATAAAGGACCAAATTTTAGAGTTAGGCACCATAAATTCTCAATCTAACATAAAACTTTGAGCATTGGCCTGCAAAACCGAATATACTCCCCAAAGTTTCAAAAATTTTATTCCATAGGGTCCATGCCACAAAGCAAGTAAAAAATAGATGTGATGAAGATTCAACCTCCTTTTTACATAAAGGACAAGTCACATCTACAATAGATGAAATTCCTCTCATTTGTAGCTCTTGTTTAACTGACAATCTTTGATACACCACCTGTCACATAAAGACCTCCACTCTAGGAGGCACCAAGCCTCTCCAAATGTATCTCATCCAAAAGGAATTTACTGTCGAAACAGGACAACAAGACTTAATACTGGAATTAACAGAATATATCCCATCCCCATTCCCTCTCCAAACCAGCCCATCTGTCAACTCATGGGTCAAAGTTATATTATGAATTAAAGCCATTAAATCACAGTACTGAACCATTTCCCAGTCACTCAAGTTCCTTCTCATTTGAACATGCCAAGACCAAACTGAAGACCGAAACTCTCCAAACTCATTGAGCTTTCCATTTTTGTTTAAAGATAGAACAAACAATCTCGAGAAAACCACTTTAAGAGGGGAATCAATTGCCCATTTATCAAACAAAAAACTGATTCTGTCTCCATTGCCCACACGAACTTCAAACAGACTTTGAAATTTATCTCCAAACTGATCCTCTTTGAAATGATTTTGGACTACCGATTGTCAAATCCAAGAAGTATGTGCAAGAAGTTTCTCCTTAAAAATCAACAACCTAGGGTCCAGATTATACTTACTGCATATTACCTTTTTCCACACCGTCTCCCTTTCATTCGCAAACCTCCAAGACCACTTCCCTAGGAGAGCTCTATTCATATAATTAAGATCTAAAACACCAAGACCACCAGCACTTTTTGCAAAGCACACTGTCGATCAGTTTACCAAATGAATTTTTTTTACCTCTACCCCTCCACCCCATAAAAATCTGGCCATGATGGAATTAAGTTTAAAAATCACGGAAGAAGGGATTTTAAACAGGGACATGTAATAGGTGGGTAATGAGCACAAAACAGCCTTCAATAAGACCAATCTCCCTGCCATTGACAGAGTCCTCGCCTTCTAGCCAGCTAACTTCTTGTAGAACTTTTGCACTACCGGATCCCACAGCGTTATAGAATTCCTCTTAGCACCTAGCGGTAATCCCAAATATTTCGAAGGGAAATAACCCACTGCACAGCCAATAGTATTAGCCCACTGCATTACCTTTTCCTCACTAATATTGATACCAAATAATTTACTCTTAGTGAGATTCAATTTCAGGCCTGATATTACTTCGAAAACCCGTAGAACCCTCTTAACATTCAGAACATGTGTCTTCGATGCAATACAGAAGATGATCAGATCATCTGCAAATTGCAGATGAGAAAAATTAAGAGAGGTCTCATCTTTGCCAACAACCAAACCGCTGAACAGACCGGAAGATACTGCTTTAAGAAGCAGTAAATGAAATAGCTCACCAATGAAATTGAACAGCAAGGGGGACAAGGAGCATCCCTGTCTAATACCTCTAGCTATTGGAAATTCATCAGTAGGAACCCCATTAACTAACACTGAGACCGAAGCAGTTGTAACACATTTCCGAATCCAGCAACACCATTTGGATCCGAACCCCATTTTAGCCATAATTTTAAAGAGAATGTCCCAATCTACCATATCGTAGGCCTTCTTGAAGTCCACCTTCAACATGCAACCCTTCAATCCTTTCTTCCTCCACAAGTCAATTCCTTCATTAGCAATAAAAGAGCAGTCCAAAATGTCTACCTGGAATTAAAGAAAATTGTGAATCACTTATAACATCATCAATGCAACATCTCAACCTTCTCACAAGGCATTTGGAAAGAATTTTATACATCCCACCTACTAGACTAATAGGTCTGAAATCATCTAAACCCCTAATATTAGAGCTTTTTGGAATGAGAGTTATGAAAGAATGATTAATGGCATGCTCCCAATCCTTTCCCAAGGAAAAATTATGAAAAAAATTCAGAATATCACCTTTCAAAGAAGACCAATATTTTTTAAAAAACCCATATTCAGCCCATCCGGTCCCGGAGCTTTGTTACTATCATACGAATTCAGGGTTTCCCATATTTCTTCTTCTGTAAACTCCTTTTCTAACATAAGACTATGCTCCACTGAAATTCTTGAGAAATTTAACTTAATATCCTCCACTTCCAAAGTAGTACGACGGTTAAAAGCTTTGAAAAAATGCTCTCTGGCAATAGCCTTAATCAGAACAGGATCCCTCAAATTTCACCTTCAACATTAATAGCATTTAGAGTGTTCAACCTCCTCCTAATGGAAGCACAAGTGTGAAAAAATTTAGAATTCCGGTCACCATCTTTAACCCACTTCTCTCTCGAATTTTGGAACCAAATTTGCTCCTCAATTCTGTAGAGTCTCCAAAGTTCATTCCTCAATAACCTCAACTCTGCTGTACTGTCATCATTTGTAAATTGATTTAGCTGAATACTATTTTCTATCTGATGAATCTTGTCTTCAATAACAGAAATCTGTTCACGAGGAAACTGATTCCTACTCCTAGACCAAGTCTTAATAGCACCCTTTGTATTCCTAAGAATGCTCAAAATTCCTGCTCTTTTCTTAACCTTCTTGTACTCCATAATAGACTCTACAACCTTCTCCTCAAAGCCATCCTCAGACATTAAGTAGCTAAACAGCCTAAAAAGCCTCTTACCCCAATTATCTTCCCCACTCTCCATAATAATAGCATTATGATCAGAAATTGACTTTGGCAGTAACGATTGGGTGATATCAGAAAACTCAGAAAAGAAACTAACATTCACCAGAAACCTGTCCAACCTAACCACTGTGGGAAAATCCCGATTGCTACAACTAAAATTCCCCCCAATTAAAGGTTAATCAATTAGCCCCGTTTGCTGAATGAAGAGAGTGAAAATTTCCATGGAATTTCTATTTTGTGTTCTACCTTCCTTCTCCTCCTCTGTTAAATAGGCATTGAAATTCCCTCCCACACATAAAGGCAGATTTCACCCATTTAAAAACAGTCCCAGTTCTTCAAAGAAACCAGTCTTTTCTTCTTCCACAGACGGTCCATAAACCTTTATGAATCCACACCTAAATTGGTTTGATTTGAACTTCCCAACAACAACAATAAATCTCTTGTGGATATACTGATCTTCTAGCTCAAAACAACTATCATCCCAACAACTTAAAATGCCTCCTGAAGAACCTACTGCTGGTGACACAACGAACCCTTGTAACTTATTCAACCCACTTCTCCTTAGAAAAGAACTTGGTAAAATCTCAAATTTTGTTTCTTGAAGAAAAAGAAACGTTGGTTTTTTCTCTGAAGCTAATTTTTGTACAGCTCTTTGTTTTTCTTGTTTTCCCAACCCCCTAATATTCCAAGACAAGATAATAAGCTTTATCATCATATTCTAATTTAATGATACCAAAACAATCCCAGAATTCATCCACGAACTCAGCCAAACTGACTCAATCCTTTCTCCAAATCCATAATTTTTTGTAGGAAAACCTCCTTCCCTTCCTTGAAAGATATGCCCAAAATACTGCTTATTTCCCATGTAGCCATAGCTTCTTCCATCAGCACTGGAAAAACTAATGAGGATAGTGTAGAAACACTAGCATGATCTAAAGCATCCCTAATGAGTGATCTTTTGTTTCTCCTGTTAAGGCTCCTCCCCCTTGAAACATCACAATCCCCTTTTGACAGAACAACCGCCTCTGAAATTTTAGGATGAACACCTCTTGAAATTAAATGCCTACCCGACTTACTACCACTTTCCCCTCCTGATACATCCAACCAGAAGTTTCTTTCTCTGAACCTGTTGTAAAACCTCTTATGACTCTTGATTAACTTTCTCCCAACCGGGGCGCTCTTCATGGAAAGAGAACTTGCAGAACGAGTTGGCGAACCAATTCTTAGACATATCAACTTCAATCCTTCAGCAGACTCCAATTCACCATCCATCCCTGTTGTATCCTTAAGACCAACCTCTGACAATAAACAATGACTTCCCCTAGCTTTGTCTCCATCCCCTGATATGCTAGTGACATTATGAATATGTTTTTGTTTAGCATTACCGAGCCCAATCAATTTTACTGCTGTGACAGCAGGAATTAATCTCTTTATGGGAGATAATGGCTCACTGCTCCTGTCTGATTGGGCCTGCAACCTTTCATTATTTTCCTTCTTATTTTTAATGCCCAGCCTAACATAATCTCCCTTTTCCCTACTCCCCGAACTATGAAAATCTAACACTCCTTCATTAATGCCTTCCCTTTCAAGCTTCTTTTTGAAAATTGAAATTCTTCACCTGCTGCACCAACCCCGACATAAAATCCCTGATCAATCCATAAGTTAACTTTCTGCCGAGCTTCCTAAACAAGTTGAACTGGACCTGCCATGTTAGACGATAATGGGCCCATCTTCCTCCTCTGACGACTCTATGACTGACTCTTTCATCGAAAAATTTTTCCGGCGAGTTGCCAAGAAAAAAATTTGAATCCATTGAAGTAGATCCCAGCTTAGTAGTCACCTTGAATGATCTTCCATAGGAACCTAAAGTTAACACTTCCGGGACATCAAACGAACTTGCCACCCTTAGCAAAATTTTCACCGTCGTGAGATCTTCCCTGGTTAAAGTCGATTCCTGGATGCCCTCCAATGATCCCCACCTTCCAGCTAACTTCTGTAAGAAATTCTCTTACCAACATAGCAGAGGAACACTGTAACAACTCCACCAGACAGAATGCAATAGGCACTCCACCTTCATTCAACAGAGGCGCCAGCCGATCGAACCAGAACCATAACTCCTCACTTTTATTTGACCAAGCATCCTTCATCAATTCCTCTGATTTGAATGTGATAACACAAGAGTTCCATACATACCCCCAACTCGCAATTTGAACATCAAAAGCTTCATATGCCAAGCCTCTTTAAACCAATTCCAATTCAAAGGAATGTTTCACAATACCCGTGAGAGATCTTTTCACCCACCTTGAGTTTTCAATAGGAATATGCATCTCCCAAATATTCTTCTTCCCTCTCCCCCTGTCTACATTGTCATATTTGTTTCCCTTTTGCTCCGACTCACTCTTTTGCGAACTGCTCGACACCAAGACATCTTTATATGATATGTTATCTCTTAGTCTACTCTGAATCACATCCTTCTCACTTGGTTTAGATTTATCTTCTGTAACCTTATCCTGGACACCAACTAGAGAACGAGATGTACCAACAACCTTTGGTCGATCATTCTAGTATTTTGCAACTCCAACAGAAACTTTCCTCCCATCAATCCACAACCCGTTTATATTTTCAACTACTTTCCTCATTCCTGTTTCATTACCAAACTGAACAAAGGCAAACGTAGAAGATTTGTACTTGGATTGTTCAACACACTTGGTATGAAGACTCTCACCACCTGACCCTGTTCAAGAAAAATATTCCTTAACTCTCTTTTAGAGACTCTTTTGCTCAGATTGTCAACGAATACAGTCCAACTCCCACCGGCGGAAGACTGACCTTTTTCTCTTTCTCTCTCTTTTTTTCTGACTCTCTCACTCATACTGACTTTTCCTAAATCTACTTCAAGAGCAATATAGTTAATAGAAAAATTGGAAAGACTCAATTTCTTCCCCTACAGCCCCTCTGAGGTGCTCAAGCCTTGTGATTTCAGTCATGTCTCTTAGCATGCACAAAAATTGCACAGAACTAAGTGAGCATAACGTCGATTAGTGGATAAATTATTACCAACGAGGAAAATAATGTGCATCTGGATATTGCTTCTTCATTCCACTGCACAAACTCTGTTGCAGCTGCAACAGATATCTCCTGAGGGAAAGAAGCCATTGAAGCCCCTTTAGAACGACCTATTGTTCCATTAGGATCACAGACTCTCTGGCTTTCAACACGCAGTTCTTCCAACTGCATAGAATCACAGATGTTACAGGCTACAACAATGAAGTAAATCAAGCATTGAATCATTAGTAGATCATCTAAATGCAAACCTTTGCTTGACACAGTTGACTAAGAGAGGATTTCTCATAGTCAGGATATTCATCCTTGTGAGAAGAAAAAAGAGACTCTGCAAGACCTGTAATAACAAGCAAATTTCAGATTTTGTCATAAAAGAAGCATAAAATAGCTATTGATTGTGATTACTTTCAATTCACATTTGTTGAGTCTCTCTTGATTGTAAGTTCATCCCACACAAGTGTTATCTACTTTGGTCTATTTTTATTAAATCCCATCAATAGTTTCAAATAACCAACCCTAGACTATCTACTTTAATCAAATAATAATTATCTGATTCCAAAAACGTGGTTAACATTATAAAAGAAATATGCAGAACAAGGTTATTTGCAAAGGAGCTGCTGTGATATAGTTACCTTCAACATCCAAATCACCACATCCAACAGCTCGCAAGTCTCTAGCAAGTTCTTGAGTCTTCTCATACGACACAGCTAACACTCTCAGATACTGAAGCCTCAAGTGCAATATGATACGAAGTCAAGCATCACTTCTACTTACAATTAGAATAAGGAGAAATGGATGAATTTTCTATAAGTTCACTCACCAATAAAATTCCACCTTCCTCCATGGGACGGGGATGTGCAAGAGATGGTTTCTCCAATAATTTGTCCAAAAGAGAAGTAACTCGCTGCTCCAAAACTCGCTGCAAGTGATATAAGAAACCAGCCATAATTAGAAAAAAAAATTATTCATAATGGTGCTGCTGCACATGAATTGAAGAAATGCAATAATATGGGAACATGAAGAACATAATCAGCAAGGCACCTGAACTAAGATTGACATAACATCATTAGGAGAAGGGAATACTGCCATAATTGTGGCAGCTTCTTTTCGTACAGTATCTGCAGGAGAAACAACATAGATACAAGAATTCTGTTGATGAATTCAAGCCCTTCAATTTACATATATTAACCAATCTCTAGACCTGTAATATCTTTGTATAATTTAGAAACACCACGGGCAACATAGTTGGGAGAAACTCGGTCGCCCAGAACTAAATTAGCGTCTGAATTCATCACTTCAACATCAATGAACATTGGACGGGTTGCTACATAATGTTGCATGGCACTAGTCCCCCTGTTAAACTGCAATTTGCAGATACAGACATTCCAAATTGATTAAAACACCCTCTCATAAATTTAAATAGCCTGCTTGAAATAGAATAAATTGATAACTGAGTTACAATTTTATAGAGTAATATACAATTTATAATACCTGAGATAAAATTTTAGCACATTCAGACATGGTAGACAATTCCCTTCTCTGTGATGCAGCATCAAACCGAGCCAACAATCTGTTCTCCAGCTCTACAGAGATTTGAAAAAAAAAGATAAAATCACATGGGAAACTTGATAAACTTGTCATTAAATGATAGGCAAACCCATTAATAATACAGAATTAGTGGATTCTTTCCCTTGAGAATGTAATTCTAAAGCTTCCATAAAGGACCAGGATGATAAAATGAACTAGGTACAATGGCTAGTTATTTTAGGTAACTGAAGTTTTTCATCAAAATTCCCGTTGCAATCTAAAGTCACTCATTAACTCTTTTACCACTCTCATAGATCATAAGGGTTTCATACTAGAAGACTCTAATAAAACAGTTACCATACCATTGCAATACTCCTGAAGATTACCAACTGCAGTTTCCAATCCTCTGCTGGCAGTTGTACCACTCGCAACTGATGGCATAGCTCTTGAAATATCCTCCTCAGCAAACGATCCTACCGAAGATAAAAATGTTGTTTATAAAGTAGTTAGAAGCATAAAAAATAATATTCCAAAAGCTGTAGATAGAAAAAGTTGCCCATACTAAAATATATTATAACTAGCCAAGTTCAAATTTTCAAACTGTTTTTACCCTATCAAATTCATTACTATCTCGTGCACTCACTCCTTTTCATGTACACATCTGGTAATAAAAAAGCTTTTGAATTTGTGCAACAACTAAAACTTTACAAAAGTAAAGTCATCTTACGTAATTTCTGTGCAATTGACGCAGCCTCAGCAACACGGCTGTCATCAGAAAATAGAGGCGAAAGTTTCGTTAGATCGCCAGGGCTACTATTAAACTCCATCAGGTACTGCAAGTAAGAAAATTGTGAACGTGTTAACACAATTTAAGCAATATATAGGACACAAAATAGACAAACAGTACCTTTACGAGCTCTATGGTTTGACTAGCAGTTTCACGCTGAGCATCTGCACTCTGAACACAAAAGATAACAAATAAATGCACTTAGGAAATGCTATCAAATTAGCAAAATGGCAAGACCAACTAGTAGCAAATAAACCAGTTAACGGTAGCCAAAACAATGAACAATCTTACCTGCAAATGATCTCCTACTTTTGCAGCAGTCTGCCCAACACTTGAAATACGTGAATCCAACCTTGCAAAACTGTTGAATAAGCCATCTACACCTTTTTCCAGCTGGAGATCCAAAATCATATTAGATTCGCATTCACCTAAAAACTTATAATTTTGAAAGATCATAAAAAAATTATCTGATTTTTTACATAATGTCATGCTGTGGTTCAAGCCAAGGTAAAAATGTGAAGGCATTTTAAAACAAAAACAGGAAGAATTTATCTCAATATTCACTATAAAACTGTTGAATTATAGGCATGAAAGAAATAATTTCTTATTTTATTGACATTTTTACTTGATGATTTCAAAGAAAAGGTAGGAAGGAACTCTGCAGAATGACCTCAGTTAGTGTCTTCCGGTGCTTAGCATCTTCAGTAGAAACCTCTTTCTTGAGACTGTTGAGTTTTCCATCAATCTTCAACCAATACCAAGAATTAAAATTAATATGAATCCTACTAGATTCATCAAACCCATATTACAGAACACACCTGCTTGCGCAGTTCGATCAACTCTTTACAAGAATCCTTGAACAGTGATAATAAAGCATCTACTTCAGGAAATAGAGGTGCATTGAGTCCTTGCGCAACTTTTGTAGCATCAGAAGTTGTACGTGTATGTCCATTTGGCAGAGCATCAGTCCCTCCAATGCCGTGTCCATCTGCTGAATCTACTTCATCTTCGCGTAAAGACGGCAGGTGCTCATTAACCAAGTTGCCAAATAATGCATCAAACGAAAAATCACCCTACCAATTGAATTTTGATCATAAACTTACCAATGAATTTATGAGAAAAGTAAGACAGGCTATGACGGTTTTTTATTTCAAACTATATTTAACGATTACTTGCATCAGACATCACGAAAACTATGGGTCAATTTCTAAATTGGTCTCTAAACTTGAAAACATTCTAATTGAGTTCTCAAACTATCACTAATATCCATATCAGGTCTTTCCATTATCCATTTTGTTAATTTTTTGTCAATGCTAAATAGCAACACGTGTCACCATGTGATTTCAACACTTGTTTTTTTCATTATTTTAATATTTTTTTTCAAAATACAAGAATAAAGTATCAAATAAAAAGGAAAATAAAAATAAAAAGTTTAAAAATTAAAAAAAACATAAAATGTGTCACAATTAGATGATGACATGTGTCACCAACTAACATTTAATGAAAAGTGGGAAGGACATAATTGGAATAATACTGATAGTTTGAGATTTAATTAGAATCTTTTGAAGTTTAATAACTAAGTTAGTATATGACCAACAATTTGGGAACATCTGGTGCAATTAACAATATATTGAATCATTTTGTGATTTGATTCATTACCTTAAAGTCATCAATGTTCAGGATGACAGGAAGACTGCTTACAGAAGACGTTTTTGATTTCCGTGGTGGCATCTATTGACGCAGATTAATCAAACAAAATTAAGATAATATTGCAATTGAAGTTTTTGTCAATAGGCAAAACAGAAGCAACAACTTAATTTTGAGATAACAAAAGAAAAAAAAAAACTAAGCATGCAAGGAAAATGTGATTAATTTAACCTATGCTAGGCCATAACAAAAATAATAACAATAACGTTTAAGCGAGGATAATGCAGCAACTAAATACTCCACTATCTCTAACTTGAGCCAGTACTTTAATTTCTTTAGAAACCCTAAATAAAATACTCTGTTTGTTGTCCTCCATATTCTCAACAACCAAATACAAAGAAAAAAAGGACTTAGTTACAATTAAGTAAATTTAAAACTAATTGGCATTCAAATGCAAGGTTAGGCACTGATATTGTTTCCGAACAGCCCATTGAAACCTTGCAAATTACATGAATTCCTCATGCAATCTAATTCAGGTCTACCTTATTTTTTCAAAGAGAAAAAACAAATGTAGCAGCATATATGAGAAGAAAGCATTCTTTTCAATCTCATGGAATAAGAAAATGGAGAAGGATAACCTCAGTATTAGTTGAAGGAGCAAAATTTGGTCTTGAGGAGACTGAAGACTGGCAGAGCGAAGTTTTGACTAATAAACAGAATCAGTATATTAGAATGGTCAGAACAATTCTAAAAAATCAGGAAAAAGAGCATCAAAAGAAAGAAAAATAAAGCTATTAAGCCTAGACTCATAATGTAAATAACAAAGATATTAAATATGGAGTCAGGATATTCACCGAAGAAGGCAACAGCAGCAGAATCAAATCAAAATGTTGAAATAGGAAACTGCTTCTGCCATAATAATGGCTGTTATGTTTCGTACATATTTATTTTTAATTTTTTGGGCAAGTAAATGCGAGAGATTTTAGTGCCACTAATCATAATTTATCTGTAGAGCTTCGAGGCACAGACGTGATGGCTTCGAGGCACAGACGCGTGATGGACAATAGAAAAGCACGGAACATGTTGAACATTAAACTTAAGAAGTTCCAACAAATAATAATATCTACAATTTACCTTCAATCCAGATCAACTATCTGCGAACAAATCATCATCAATTTTTTTTCCTTTTTGAAATCGTTTCCTGTCCTGCAGCACTGCATCTTTCTTTGCATAAGATAGGAATAACCACACCGCATTCTTCACAACCCAAAATACAGATTATCAAGAACAGGTATGGAAAGATGGACTGTTCTTTTCACTTTATTTGATATATGTTTATACATTCTTTCTTTTTGGGTGGCAGACTTCTGTCGTATATAATTGCCTTGACTTGTGGTTGAAGAGGCATTAATGTCTGTAGTGTTATTGTGTTACGCTTGATATGTGGCCCAATCTATATGCGGGTTAAGCTCAGGATGGCAGCTAACAGAATTCTTGGAAAATTGGTTTGAAATCACTTATTTGATATGGTTTTTTCTGGCTTTCTTTCCTTTTCTTTCCCCTTTTCACCTCTCCTACTTATTATATTGTACTATTGAATTAATGTGATTTTAAGTGTTACCAATGACATAAGGTGTACTCTAAGCACTAAAACCTCTATATCTCTTGAGGTGCAGGATGAAAAAAAACCAACCCCCGCGACAGTTCTAGCAAAATAAGATGCATATAAACAATTATTTAACATATACAAAAATTACATACATTTCTAAATAACAACTTTTTGTCATATAAAAGGTTTAAGAAAAATGGTAGATCTGCTGGACGCTTCTAGATCAAAAGAAATGAGAATAACCCATGGTAGTGTATGACACTTTTCCTGTTAACTTTTGCAGGTAGATGGTGTGAAGCAGTAGCTTAAAGGTTGGTGTCTAGTAGTTATGCAGAAGTTATCTAATCAAGAATATGATCTCGATAACCTGAATAAGGCTCAGAAGGGAAAACTTCTGCAGCAAATCACTTTTTTAATAATGTAATTGAATCCTATGCCTTTGAATGCCAAGACAATGGAAAACAATCATAAAAAGCATATATGATTTTTCAACTTTACCAAAATAAATAAATAAAGTAATTCTCAGCCAAACAGCTTCATAACCCGCTCGTTTGATTTATTTAAGTATGCATGTTCTTAAACACCAAATAAAACATCACGGCTCTACATATTCTCAGCATGACAAAAGTTGCAGCCAATAGATAACTAAAATTGAAAATAACGAAGCAAAAGAATCACCGAATTCCAAAACGGATTCAAAATAAAGTTGAAAGGCAATGGAGAATAAGAAGAATACCAAGGCTTGAGTGAACTTTTAGCAATCTCTACAACTCCATTCAGCTGAAGAAACAAAGAAATAAATAAAGTAGGGAAGAAAAGAGCAAATTAAATGAAATTTAAAGCTGAAAAAGTGAATTATAAAGCAAAAAAAAAAAAATGAGATAGGAAATCGGTTGCTCCACAGTTTGGTTTGAGGAAAGAACGGAAGAAAATCGGATTATAGAAAGTGGGAGAAAATTAGACTGATTATTTTCTCTATTTTTCGTTCAAAAAATTGAGGAAAATTAAGGAAATCTTTGTGGTTCTAAATCCAATTACAAGAAACCATCATTTCAACCATATGCAACAGGGTAACAGAGAAGAAAGCAGGGAGAATAGTAAAGAACTTAGACCTTCGTCCTGCCAATACTAAATTCTCCGGCGGAACCTACAGTTTTAGTCGGAGGCACGGCAGAGAGTCACGAGAGGAAGTTAGTTTCAGATGAAGGAGATCTGTTATGTGAAAAAAATGGTGAAGAACTGGAGCGAAATTAAGGGAACGCAATAACTGTTCCGTTGAAGGCTTAAAAGATTATCTATTTGCTATTATTAAGTTTATATTTTGGTTAAACTACTTCATTGATCACTTTTAATTTATATTTATATATTTTTTCCAGTTGAATTAAAAACAGTTACGTTTATGTCACTTAAATTATTGATTTATTAAATTTTAATTACTTACGTTATTGAATATTATCTTTTAGTCACTAAATCGTTAGCTCGTATGATGATGTGGCAAGTTAAAAGGATTTAATTTTTAGTTTAATCCCTAAACTTTATGTATGATACTAATTTGAACTTAAACTTTAGATGAAATATCATTTGGACCCATAAATTTTAAATAAAATATCAATTTGACCTATAAATTTGACCGAAGTCTCTCGTTATTGTCATCACTCATTATTATTGTTGCTCATCACCGTCGGTCGATATCAACTATTGTCTCCACTGATGGTTAGACCACAAAATTCTCAATTCACTTATTTTTAATCTTCTAAGAGTGAATTTAGTGTCCATTTTATTAAAAAATATCTAAAACTCAACAAATATTGTATAGAGCACTTTGACTTTCTTTAAAATTAAACCATAATAATAAATTTATCATTAATATTCTTTTAAAAATTAATACATAAAAATTTGAATCTATACTATAATTAAAAATATTTTTTTTGTTTATAATATTGTAATGTCATATTTTTCTTATATGTTTATAAAATTAATTATATTTTAATATTTACAAATATTAAAGATGTAACCTCAATTCCATAATATATCCTAAATAAAAAATAAAATTTTCAACTGATTGATAATTTATGACTGGGTAAATTATTTCAATAGTTCTCTTTGTTTTCGCTCTGATCGACTTTGGTCACTGATTTTTTTAATTAAATGTGATTAGTCCCTTACGTTATCAATCCGTCTGCTTTAAATCCTTCGACCGTTAACTTCTATTAGCTCATTAACGTAATTAAAAAAAACAAAAAAAAAACACGTGTAAATTTAAAACAACCCCATTAAATTCAAAATAACCCACATTACTTCTTCTTCTTCATGAGAAACTCCATAAAATAATTAATTAAAGTTGCTGATGTTTTTTATACTCTTTTCCACTATCTGTTTGTGTTTGTGTATACATACATACATACATATATAGATAGATTCGTTCGGCCTTTCTGAGTTCACCATGCATTTTAGACCCAAACTCAGTTAAAACTTTTTTCTGCAAGTTGCTTCCTTCTCTAGTTCTTGACAGTGACTTCACAATTTGAGTTGGTTTTTGTTTTATTGGAAAAGAATTTCAGTAAATTTTTGGTTACCTACAGAATTTTGGGAATTGTTCTCATTGGTTAAACTAATTTTAGCTTTGGAAATGAAGAATTCTCGTTTGTCGATGTTCATATTCTGCATATTTTTCCTTTGTTTTTTCGTTTCAACCCAAGGTAGGTGGCACCATCACCATAAGCATCATAGTCACTATCATAAAATATCTAAAATTTTGTCACCCTCATTGGCTGCACCTGAGCTTTCGAGTCTTCCAGACGACGGGAATGCTGATGGTTCGACCAATATTTCTGACGTAAGACAATTCGGAGCGATAAGTGACGGCGTGACAAACGACACAAAATCGTTTAAGATGGCATGGGACACAACTTGTCAAGCTAATTCTTCAGTTATCCATGTACTCAATGGTTTTTCCTTCATGATTCGGTCCGTGATTTTTACAGTTCCTTGTCAAGGTGGATTAGTCTTTCAGGTATTGTACTTGTTTTTCTCTGATTTTCAGAGATTTTTTTGTCTTTTTGCAAGGATGGGTTCATTTTTATTAAGGTAGATGGTACATTTATGCTTCCTGATGGACTCGATGTGTGGCCAAAGAACAACAGCAAGTGACAATGAATTTGATTGTGTTGAGAGTAATCTCATGGGGCATAGTTTATGTTTTAATCAGAAAAATCTTCTCCAAACGCCCCTTTGGGTTCTGCAGCTACATCGTTTCTACAATTCATGCTATTTTGGTTGTAACTTTAGCCTCACTCTATTGAATTTTGGAGCTGCCCTATCTCTAGTGTAGACAATGGACGTGATAATGGGAATTTGAGACTTGGTATTTATATAAAAAAAGAAAAGAAGAGTAGGAGGATAAGAAGAAGAAGACATGTAGGTTGTTTTGAATTTTTTTTATCTTTTAATTGTCAACTCAGACTTCTATTATGGATTAACGAAATTTAACGGTTGAAAGACTTGAGCCGAATGAACCGATAAAATAATAGACCAAACGCACTTAATTAGAAAACTGATGACTAAATCGTTTAGATCGAAAACAAAGAGAACTATTGGTATAGTTTACCCTTTATGATCCAACTTTTCTGATTTGAGTGGAAAGGCATTGATGATTAGGTTGAGAGGTGAATAAATTTTGAAAGTGATAATTTAAAGGAAAGAAGAGAGAAAGAGAGAAAGTCTTCTATATATTATATATTTTGAGATACATAGTGACCACATGGTCTAGGAAGTGTTATACAGTGACATTATTTTAAGATGTCACATCATTTTTTATGTCCTTTAATTATAAGATTATCCCTACGCTTGGAAAAATAAATAGATTCTTTTGGGCCTTTGATTTTTCTCATTCTCTGTTATTGGGTTACTGAAATGACCATCCAGCTCAGTTGGTAGAGCACAAGGTTCTTAACCTTGAGGTCGTGAGATCGAGTCTCACGGAGGATATTTCATAATTCGGAGGTCTCTTACGGAAGCTGCTCATCAACTTGATGTTGGGAGTAGCCTACTATCTTACCTCCCACTACCCCATATATATGAGAAAAAGGGACAGCCACTTTCTGTTATTGGGTTACTGTAAAAATAGAGTGGGGCTTAATTTTGTTCCATATAAATATGTTTTCAACTTATTTTTTTATCTTTACTCATTTTCTCTTATTTTTAATGGCTTACCAAATATATTTTTTAATGATTTATTAAATGACTTGCTAATTGAAATTTTAATGTTGTGTTACCACGAATTTTCCAGTGAATTTTTTTATAACTTTGTTTAATTTGTAGGTATTTTCACAAGATTACGAGGAGTAGACTCGAATGTCCAATTCCATGCAGGTGATTTAATGTCTCTTGATTACATGGAATAATCAATTTTACAAAAGGCTTTATAGGTCAAGAGCCCACAAAATTTGTATGGGTCCTTAATGCCTTTCAAGAATTATTGTGATAGCACTGAAGTTAGGTTCTAAATATAGTAGAAGGCTTTCAAGAGAGATGACATCCAGACTACTTGTATCCTTGACATTCACGTATTGTATGTAAGAAGACTCATGCGTGAGGGGTTTAATATATTGTCTATTTCATGTCACTTACACTTAGATTAAGATTAGAAAGACTATAATACATTACTAAAATGTAACAACTTATTACCTTTGTCGAAACGATTTTTTTTAAAATGTGAAATTTTGAAAATCACATTAATTTTTAATTTACCTCTTTCAATTGATTTTTAATTTAAAAACAGATGCGATTTAAAAAACCTCTCGTTTTGAAAAATTTTGGATTTCCTTTACGATCGAAAAAATACGGTTCAAAGAGTTGCCATCAATCTTTGATTAGGGTGTGATTGGGCACCCAAAAATGTTTGTTATTTTAAATAAAAATTAATTTTAATTAAAACAACAAATTAAGGTCTGCTTTACCAAAATCCGAGTTCGGGAGTCGGTTACGTGCAGGGAAGGATTAGCACCCCCACAACACCCTAAAACGGTACCTAGTCGATTAATTAGCGTCTTTGCAATGAACTTTACAAATTTGAATTCAATTTGATTTTTGATCCCATAAAACAAAGATGTAAATTTAAAAATATTCAAAAACACTCAAATAAATTAAATTTAAATTATCGAGTCGTTTTAGAAAGATAAAGAATGTTCAATTATTTACAAATATCGAGACCAGATCTTAAAAGTTATAAAAACCTTTTCTCGATAAATTTAAATAAACGAACATTTCCTTTTCTTTCGTTCCCAAATTTTAGGTGACAAATCAATTTTTTGGTTTCACTTTCGGGATACACTTTTAATTTAAAATAGTCAAAACGGCTCTCTAATCAGTTAAGACAAGCCACTCAAGATAATTTTAAATTAAAAGGGTATTACCCTTAGTCCGATTATGTATTTATAAGTCGAGTTATGCACATGAGGGTATCATACAAATTATGCAAAAAAAGATGTCATACCAAAATTAATTAAACAAAATCAAAAATGACATACAACGTGACATACAAAAAAAAATTTATACACATATATTTCTAAATTTAAAATTATAAACCATGCATACTAACCTATAATGTACAAATATGATTCAAATATAAAAACAAAAACATAACATGCTAAACTAAAAATTTTAAAAATATATATACATGTTAAAATAATGACTAAATTTAAATACACATAAAATTAAACATGCAAATCGAAAATTAAACCAAGGACTTAAATAAAACAACACACATAAACAAGGGATCTACACCTAAATAAACCAAATTAAGTGGTATCTATGTAATTTTCCTAAAATACTAATCCTAAATGTTTAAGGACTAAAAAGTAAAATAAAAAAAATTTTGAGTTCAAATGTCTAAAACAATAAAAGTTAGATACAACAATACTACTTGGGACCGAAATTAAATGCAGGTAAAATAAAGGGACAAAATTAAATACATGAAAACATTCGATTAGGGACTAAAATGAATTTAGAAGAAAAATTAAATGAACAGTAGCTCAAATAATCCAAAAATTTGAACAACCTAAATCTGTAAAATAACAAAATCAAGACAAACTTAAAATGTCAAATTTCCAAAAACAGACTTTAAAAGTGACGGAAATGCAAAGAAAACTAAACTTAGGAGGACTAAAACCTAATTTACCCAAAAATTAATATGTAACCTAACTAAAAGAAACCTAAATTAACTTGCTAAACCTAAACACCCATTTAGCC